ATGAGTTCGACTCCTCCCCAGGTTCGGGGTCTAAATTTCCTTGGGTTCTTCGAATCCCTCCTGGAGGTTTTTGGCTTCCTGCATCCCATCAAGGAAGGTATGGGAGTCCCCCTGCGGCTTACCTCCTGTGAGACCCGGATTACGCCTCGATAATGAAGCCTTCTTTTTGAGTTTAGCTCCTCTTTCTTTATTTGGTGCGTTACAAGGCACCGGAGTCTTCCTGGCTGGCAGACTGTCTTTTCTTCTTTGGGGGCTAGGCATTCGTCCTGTCGGAATGCACACGTGAATGGCGAGAATTGCCTAGGGTCGTTTAGGTTTTCCTGGGGGGGGGGATGAGTTGGAGCACCTCAAGGCATGCTTGTTCGCTCCCGTCCTTCCTTATGATGTCAGCCAGGTGCGGCTTCACGTGCACGTTCCCTCCCTTACGGCATCCCTGGTGGCTGAGGATTTGTGCGCTGTCTTTGGACTGTCTCGTGTTGGGTGAGGAGGAGCTGGTTTCCGGGTCAGGATTCGGTGTGCTTGCTTCCGCAGCTCGGGCACCGGCTACTTTGATGAAGATGTATGCGCCGTTTCTGAGAGAGGCGGTGTCTGTTCTTCGCTTCTCATCTCGCGTGCTGACAGGCGGTGCTTGTCCAAATTTTGGAATCGTTGTGGGCCCTGGCTCTTAGATTTTCATCACCTTTTTGTCCATTGCTATTTGCAGAGTCTGCGGTGATACACTTTCTGCAGGTGGCTTCATCTAGTTGACAGCCATTGTCAGACTTGTAGGTTCTCCGGGGAGGCCATGGAGGTCCTGCCCAGAAGGGTCCTGCCAGGTCTCGGGGTTCCTTCGGTTGTCATAAGCCAATAGTGCCAGATTCGGGGCTGGCACCACCTCTGGAGCCGTAGGCATCTGGTAGGCACAGTAATCGCTCTTGGCATTGGTTGGGCTCTCGTAGGGGTCGTCGGCCCTTTCGCAGGTTGCCCCGTTGACGGAGCAATAGGGGAGGAAGCTCGCGCTGTTTGCTCTCGCCTGGTCCCACAATTTGAGGGCATTTCGGGTCGTTTCCTCCGACCTGCGGTGGCGTTGGGTCGGTCCTCCTCCTTCAGGGGAATCGGGGCTGGCAGGGCAGGCCTCTTCTCCTGTGCTGTCAGGTCATCCGGGAGTGGGTTCACTTGGGTGTGGTCGAAACGACAACGTCCCTCAGGTGAGTTTCCCACCTGTTTTCAGTTCCGAAAAGTCCCTGGCACTTTTGCCCCTCCATTTGGATGACCACTCTCAGGTCCGGCTGCTTTTGGCGCCGGGTGCCTGGATGGTGTCTCTGGACCTCCGGGACGCGTATTGGTTTTATAATTTTATTGTACATGTCCCGATTCATCCGGGGTTCAGTGACTGGCTCGGTTTTGTCATGGGGCAACAAGCTTACCTTCCATTCAGCTTGAATATGGACCTCGAGTGTTCACACGCCTTACTGGGTCGTGGTGACCTGTTTGCTTCTGTTAGGGGTTTGGGTTCTGGCTTACCTCGACGACTGGCTGGTGTGGGCTCCCAGCCAGTCTGCGTGTCAGCTCGCCAGGGATATGGTTCTTTCCCAGTTTGCCGGGTTCGGGATTCATGGTGAACTAGAGTAAGTCCCTTTTGGTTCCCTCTCAGGTTCGGACTTGGCTGGGTCTGGTGTGGGACTCTCGGACCGCTTCCTTGTCTCACCCTCCTACGACGCTGTTGCTGCTGCAGTCCCGCCTCTGGCTGTTTTTGGAGGGCACCCGGGTCACACGTCGGTTGTTTGAGAAGCTGTGTTGGAGCCTGAACTTTACAGTGCTGGTCTACCCATCAGGTCGAATCTGGCTTCGGCGGATGTTCTGATTTCTTTGGGGTCTTCCCTTCCGCCGCTCTCACGATCGATGGGTTCGGATCACGGGAACCTTGCACCAGGTGCTGCGTCGCCGGCTTCCTCTGCGGGTTTTTCAGAGTTCTGTGCCGTGGTGCCTCCCCCAAGCCCTCGCTCGATGCGTTCACTGATGCTTCATCTCTCGGCTGGGGTTTTGCGACAAGTGTTCACCAGGCCGGCCAGGGTTGATGGGGTGCGTACTCCCATTGAGCTCACAGCACAGCATGGGAGTTTGCGGCGGTGTGGCATTCACTTCAGAGGATTTGGGTCGCTCAAGGAGCAACGATCCGGTTCCATTTGGACTGCTCCCCGGTGGTTCATTCCCTGAACCGTGGGGGTTCGATGCGGTCCTTGGTTCTTTGGGGCTGGTAGCTTCGGGTGACTCGTCTGCTGAGTTCTCGGGGTTCTGCTCTCCTGGCGGTTTATGTTCAGGGGGGGTATCAAACATCCTGGCAGACAGCCTGTTTTGGTTCCTTCCCCTTTCCACGGAATGGACGGTCGACGCCAACTCGTTCAGTTGGCTCTGCTGGACATACAGGCGCCCAGCAGTGGACCTATTCGCATCGGAGTGGTCGAGGTATCTGCCAGTTCATGAGGCACCCTTGCCAGACTGCGAGGCCGTCAGGGGTCGATGCCTTTCGGCTGGACTGGTCGAGGTGGAGTTACCTATACCTCTTCCCTCCGGTTCGGTTATTGCTCCGGATCCTGCCTCGGTTGGAGACTTACCAAGGGAGAGTAGTCCTGTTGGATCCTTGGTGGCTGGGCCAGCCTTGGTTTCGGGTGCTTCTCTCTCGATGTCCAAACCCGAGGGTCTTCCTGCGGCTCCACCTCTTTCAGCAGCTCGGTCCGGTCCGTTATGTGGCTGATTCGATCTTCTCCTCCACTCTTCGCGTCTGGTCTTTTTCACATGGGTGTATCACCACTTGTATGGTGATCAGGTGGCTTAATTGATGGTGTCCCACCTGCGAGTTTTGTCTAGACGGCAGTATGAAATTTCCTGGCGGTCCTTTCGGCAATTTTTGTCTCTTTGTAGGTTGTCTTCTATTTCTGATTGGGTTGTTTTGTCCTTTCTCTCTTAGTTGTTTCAGGACTGTCATCTTGTGCCAAATACTGTCGCCTCATTTCGTGCGGTGCTGGCAGAGCCGCTGCAGCTTGCTTTCGGGGTGGATGTCACTTCTGCTCCGTTCCGCAAGCTTTCTTGGGCGTTGTTTTCCCCTCCTGCCTGCTCATGCGCCGCCTGAGCTGTCCTAGTCGTTGGAATGGGTGCTCTCTTTTCACTCTTCTCCTCAGCATGTGGTGGCCCCCCTCGGTTCAGGACTGTTTTTTTAAGGCTCTTTTCTTGTCGGCATTGGCCTCTTGGGGGTCAGGTCGAAGAGCTTCGTACTCTCCTTCGGAGCAGGGGTTTCTGCTCTTTCAGTCCTGGTGGTCGTTTCGTTCGTTTGCAGCCTTCTTTTCTGGTGAAGAATCAGTCTACTGCTTTCCGAAGGAGTCGTTGGGTTGTTGTTGATTTGTTCGGCTGGGGGTGCATCATGTTTTGTGTCCAGTTGCGGTTCTTCGCCGGTATCCGTGCACCACCGCCTCCGTGGTAGGGGACACGCTCTGGGTGGACCCGGTTTCCCTTCTTCCCTGTTCCAAGGCGCGGATCTCCCAGGTTGTTCACAGGATTATTCGGTCCAGCCAGCCTGCGGTCTATCCCCGTGCCCATGACGTTCATAAGTTCGCGGCTTTGGCTGCTGTTTTTGGGAATATGTCCTGGGCTGACATTCGGGCACAGGGCTTTTGGAGGTCGAACAGGTTCCTGGCTGCACGGTATCTCGTTAATGTTCCTAGGCCTTCTTGGGCATGTGTAGCCTTGGGTCGCAGGTTGCAGCCATTTGTCTCGACTTCGAGTTGAGGAGTAAGTGATGACAGCCTCCTGGGTAAGTCCCTCATTCTTTATCTTTGGTTAGGTAGCTCCGGGAAGCCAAAGAATGCTCTCCACAGAAATTAAGTAATTATCAAAAGACGGCACCAAACCATGAAAGCTACGTAGTACCATCAAATGTGCAGAAAAATCAGAGGGCACTAATTATCACCAATGATGCCATTACGAGAACAGAAACACATAAGGCGAACGATATCAAAAATATCCAATTCACCAAGAATTCTATCGAGGGACCGCGAAGGATGGTCGGAAAGCAATACACACGCTTGTACTGGAGGCTCTGCACAGAAAACCAGCATTGAATGTAATGAAAAACCATTTTCCGGGTGAGACCCGGATGCTCCCCAGCATCCCTCCCTCCCTCCGGACTGGGGTTTTTCGAGTTTTTAATACTCGCCTTCTGAACTGAGGAGACTTGCTGGCGTGGAGGTCTGGGACCCCCCCCCCCCCCGTGTCCTTCCCGGGGAGGGGGGGTTGCGCAGACGGATGCGCGGCATTTGTGGTGACGTCATACTTGTTTCCTTGGTTTTGATTTAGGAGTTCTGGTGCTAGTTCGGCTTTCAATTTGCAATTTATTTGATCAGCAGTAGTTTGTTTTGAAATTCCTACCTTTCTGGGTGCCTGACCTGGTAGATGGCAGACAAAGACTGCTTCCAATTACACGAGGGGGGGTGTGTGTCTTTAGGCCATTGCTCCTCATGCCTCTCTTGAGGGGGCCAGGTTCTGGTTCTGGTCCCCGGTAGGCCGAGAACTCCTTTCATTGACTGTTGCCACGGTCTAATATATACACATCAGCCCAGTATAGCTCTGGGGAGCCTCTGGGTCTCATCCAGAAAATGGCGTTTCATTACATTCAATGCTGGTTTTTTATGTCAATCATAAATGCTTACATTAACATAGTATTTCATCCATATTACACTTCAGTTATGGTACCACTAGCTTGGATAGGATTATTTGCTTAAGTATGGATAATTTTGCTGCCTCTTGCTGGGCAGCACAGAGGCATCTATATAGTTAACAGGAAAATGGAGATCCAGACAATATGGGTTCCAATATAGAGTAGATTTCAAGTCAACACAATTGGGCATTCACAAGTTGTCACACACAAATCTCAGTGAAATAGGAGAAAAGTGACAAAAACATAAGGAATCCCAATTCAATTTACCCAATAACTTTGTTTTAAGCAAAGCCGTTTAGTATGAACATACCTGAAACTTTCATGTTTGTCATTTTTTCTGGCACCATCAGACCACTCCAAAGAGGCAAAAAGCTTTTATAAGTTGTGACCTCATTCTTTAAGCCTTTCCAGGTGCCATTACCTCCATTACTCTCACTGGTGTTCCTCCACATGCCACCTTCTTCACCAGGAGAGGACTCTGCCTCAGGGGCATGGGAGCACGTCAATACAATGGATTTGTAAACTGTAGAAATAACAACAACAACAACAACATTACACACACACACACAACATGCCCTACACTTAAATACAAAGTACAGTATATACCATACAAAAGAGTAAATTATTTATCGATTGATCAAATTTCTTGTATCGACAAAAATAGCCACAGAAGAAGAGAAGGCAACACAAAATTGTTGGGCTAGTGGAAGGTCTTAGATGCATTTTCCCGTATCGAGTTATATTCAATTAACACTTTTACAGTAAAGCAGCTGTATCTAAAGAACCCTAAGCTATACAGAGCCGAGAACTGATGGTATTATCCGATTAAATTGGTTTCCCGAAAATGCTCATTATACTCATGGTAAACAAGACATAAAAATAAATATAGCAATGTATCAAAAGGAATAACTGACCAAATGTGTGGAGAAAGTCTTGAAAATATTCAGCTTTGCCATGTATTGCGTGGAACATCTTGAAAAGTGCACGGTATGCTAGGAACCTGCGGTACACAGATACCAGGGGAAAATTGTCCACCAAAGCCATTGCCAAATTTTGCACACTATCTATGATCCCCATGTTTATCTGAAACAAGAACCAAATAATGAACAATAAAGCACAATATACAATTATTGCAAGAAAAAAGTTTACATTTTGGTGAATCTTAACACTTTCGCGCTCTCCGCAAAGGTCACTCAGCCAACCGAATGTGCGCGCTGCGTTTTTATCGCTTAAGCGTAAAAACAAAAATGTGTATACTCTTTTTACTCTTCTGACCTTAGTTCTCATGCTACGTATTTCATTTTGGTACCAACGTGTTCGCAATAAAATTCTCTAGAAGAACATTAGTAAAATAAGTCACGAAACATACTGTATAGGGATACCAGCACCAAATAAATAACTACGTAGATGACTCGCCGTGAGCGCCCATCAGCAACAAAATGTTTTTACTCTTGGGATTGTAATCACCTCCACACTTGTTCTACAGCGTTAATTTTGGTATCAATGGACTCGCAATGAAATTCCCAACACGCTGATATGAATAGAAGCGTAGAATAATAATGCAGCCCGCCCGCAAGAGTGTGGGAAGTGGTGAAATTGTTACCCGGTATCGGTGACGGGACGACGCACGGCGCTTTGAAAGTTTATACTTATTTCACTCTCATGACATTAATTTTCTATGTACGTCATTCATTTTTATGTCAATGTGTTCGCAATAGAATGTTCTATGTGCCCATAGGTAAAAAATATCAACAAAGCGTAAGTTAGAATAGCGACAAATATAAAACAACGCTGGAACATATCAGTGAGCGTCAAACACACACGAAATATTTTTACTTTTGTTATGTTTGTCAAGATTATACTTGTTGCACACAGTTATTTTTGGTTGTATATTGATCGGAATAAAATTCCCTAAACAGACATATGCATATAATACATGATATGGGGGAAGAATTACCAGTATAAACGGCTAAAGTCACCCACCTGCAACCCGTTTGGGACAAAATACCATTTGATCGAAGTTATCCACACCTTTCATGAACTTATTGTACCATGCAGCCTAGTGGTGAGAAAGAGAGCCTCATAGCGCGCAGTTTGAAACAAACCCAAAGTAAATCGGATAAAAATTGAATTTTATACAAATATTTTAAAAGTAGACATAACTTTATGTCCACTATGCGTTTACGTTAGACGAAACCGAACGCGCCGGCGCGTCCAGATAGCGCGAAAGTGTTAACTTGGGTAGTTTCTGAATGACAATTTACATATTAAATACAATTATGGATCTTTATAAATTAGTTTAATCTTAAACTTATTTGAGAATCAATTTTATTCTCTATCTCTGGTATTAAGTACTGTACTAAGTGGGGCTAGCCAGGAGAAAGTAACATTCTACCCTACTGCAAGGATAGTCTAAGAGTGCCCTTCAATAACTCCTTAAACTTGGCACTGGGATTGCCAAGCATTTGGGGATTGAATCAGGCACCCCAAGAATCACATCAGCCTACCAGGTGCCAAAATCAGAATGTTATCATCTACAAGGCAGGCAAGTTTATGGACCAGAAACAAATCCAAAACCAAGAATTTTTTTTTTTAATTAATGCATCAAAATAAGCACATGCTCAATGAAAATTTGTAACACTTCAACTGTGATGTGCCTAGCCATCACCAGCTGGCAGGCCAAGTCTTCCACGGTCCCTACAAGCCATGGTTGCACCTTTCTGCAGGACACACAATCAGCTTTATACTTTCAGACAAGTGGTGTTGGTTATCTCTAATGTTTCACTCTGCATAAGGCCACTGCTTTGTTTTTGTCTCATTTCCTACTTCATAAATGTGTTTTGTGCCACCTACCCTGTGTGCGTCTTGCATTTTCATTTTACACTTGCTGTGTGTGTCAGGAATTTCTCTGGAAGCCAACTTGCATCTGCCTTCTTTGTGAGGGGTTTGGGCTATCTCTTATTAGTCAACTTCCTCTCAAATTCTTTTGTTTCCCAAATAGTGTGGGGAGGGGTTTGCTCACCACTACGAGGCCTCTTGAAGGGCAAGAGATAGTTGAAATGTGTCTTGTGTGGGCTACAGCTCATCCTCCAAAAAACCAGCATTGAATGTAATGAAACACCATATCCTGGGCGAGACCTGGAGGCTTCCCAGAGCTATTCAGGCTAATATAAATAAATTAGACCTTGGCATTAGTCACAGCGAATGGAGTTCTAGGCTTCTCTTGAGATTATCTCGAGATGATTTCGGGGCTTTTAGTGTCCTCGCACCCCGGTCCTCGACCAGGCCTCCACCCCCAGGAAGCAGCCCGTGACAGCTGACTAACACCCAGGTACCTATTTTACTGCTAGGTAACAGGGGCATAGGGTGAAAGAAACTCTGCCCATTGTTTCTCACTGGCGTCCGGGATCGAACCCGGGACCACAGGATCACAAGTCCAGCGTGCTGTCCGCTTGGCTTACCGGGGACCAAGAGCTAGAACTCGGCCCTCCCTCAGAGAGGCATGAGGAGCAATGGCCTATAGAAACCCCCATGTGGTTAGAAGCATTCTATGTCTGCCATCGACCGGGTCAAGCACCAAGACAGGTAGGCGCCCCAAAACTAACCCTATCTGGTTAAAAAATTGCCAAGCCAAACTGCTGGACAACTCCCCAAACAAAAAATAAGCAAACGTGCATGAACGTGACAACTGTCACCACACAACTATCTGCGCAGCTCCCTCCTCCCTGGGAGGGGGAAGGGGAAGCCCTAGACTCCCGCGCCGGCTATCCACACCCCCAGTTCCGAGGCTGGATATCAAAACACACAAAAACTGCCAACCAGAGGAAGGGAGGGTTGCCAGGAAGTCTCCAGGTCTCGCCCAGAAAATAGAGTTTCATTACATTCAATGCTGGTTTTCTGGGAAAAGCCCCTTCGGCTCCCCGGAGCTACTTAACCAAAGATAAAACAAGAGCGACGTACCCAAAAGGCGATCGCCACTCATTCCTCAACTCGAAGTCGAGACAACTGGCTGCCTCCGCTGACCCAGTGCAACACATGTCCGACTAGGGCCAGGAACATTGACTAGGTAGTGAGCAGGCAGGACCATGTTTGACCTCCAAAAACCACGTGCCCGAATGTCAGCCCAAGATATGTTACCAAAGACGGCAGCCAAAGCAGCAAACTTACAAACATCATGAGCACGAGGATAGACTGCAGGCTGGCTGGCCCGAATAACCCTGCAGACGACCTGGGAGACCCAAACCCTGGAACATGGAAGAAGGGAAACCAGGTCAACCCAAAGTGCGTCCCGTGCCACCGAGGCCGTGGCGCACAGGTAACTTCGAAGGGCCGCAATCGGACACAACAAATGAAGCACCCCCTAGTAGAACCAACCAAGCATCAACAACCCATGGGCCCCTCCGGAGAGTAGCAGTCTCATTCTTCGCCAGAAAAGGAAACGGCTGTAAACGAAAAAACCTACCACCAGGACCAAAAAGAACAGAAACCTCTGTGCCAGAGAAGAGCATGAAGCTCCCCAACCTAACTCCCAGAGGCCAATCCCAACAGGAAGAGAGCCTTAGCAAAACAATCTTGAACCGAAGGGACTCGCCACAAACTGAAGAGCAGAGAGAAGAGAGAGTACCCGGTCCAACAACCAAGACAGCTCAGGCACTGCACGAGCAGGCCAGAGGTGAAACAACGCAGGAGACAGCTTGCAGAACAGAGCAGAAGTAACATCCACCTCGAACGCAAGCTGACGTGGCTTCTCCAGCGCCGCACAATACGAGGTGACAGTATTTGGCATAAGATGACGGTCCTGAAACAACCAAAAACGGAAGGACAAGACATCTTGATTCGAAACAGAAGAGAACCTACAGAAGAAGAAATAACAAAAGGACCGACAGGAAACTTCATACTGCCGCCGAGATGAAGCATGCAGGTGGGACACCAACGAAGCCACCTGTTCACTATACAAATGGTGATAGACCTGCGTCAGAAAGACCAGATGCGAAGACTTGAGGAGACAATCGAACCAGCTACATAATGGAATGGAACAATCCGCTGAAAAGGGCGTAGCCGCGGGAAGACCCTCGGTTTGGACACTGAGCAAGCAGCGCCTGAAACCAAGGCTGGGCCAACCACCAAGGGGCCAACAGGACTACAGTGGTACTTCAGCTTACAAATTTAATCCGGTTCCCAGAGAAGGTTCGTAACCCAAAAATTCGTTAACCGAAGCAAATTTTCCCATAAGAAATAATGTAAATAGAATTAATCCGTTCCACACTCCCAAAAAACTTAACTTCAAAGTAAATTTTATACCAAATTCGCCCAAATCTTTAGTACTAAAGAATGTACAAGTTTTTACTTACCTTTATTGATGACTTTTGTTGGCGTGTGGAAGATGGTGTTAGTGTTTGGAAGTGGGGAGGGTGTTAGTGTTTGGAAGGGCAGGCCCCTTCCATTATAACATCAGGCAGTGATTATAACTGCCTGACACACTGAACGAACCTTTTTGACATTTTTCTTTCTGAGGGGGGGGGGGGAGGCCTGTTCCCAGAGCCATCCAGGCTGAATGGATATGTATATCTTCCTGGCATCAGTCAATGCATGGAGTTCTTGCCTACCGGGAACCACAAGCTAGAAACTGGCCCCCTCTAGAGAGGCAGGAGGAGCAATGGCCTATAGAATGTGGTTGGGAGCATTCTATGTCAGCCATCGACTAGGACAGGCACCCAGAAAGGTAGGCGCCCCAAAAACTCTTATTCTGGTAAAACTATTGCGACTGAAGGCTGAACATGTGGACAGAACTCCCCAAACAAAAAGTAGCAAACTAGCATGATGTTGTCATGTCGCCCTACTCCTGTCTGCGTAACCCTCCCCCCCTTCCCGGGAGGGGGAAGGGGGAACCCTAGACTCACCCACCGGCGACCCAACTTTCAGTTCTTGGCTGATGGAAGTCTGGTGCAGTCATGCCTCTGGCTCCGGTATTTGTTTCAGTTCTGTGCCTTGTGGTGTGGGCTGTCTCTACAGGTGGTGCATGAGCCAGGAGACATATTCCACGGTACTCGGGCTGCATGTGCTTAGGGTTCCCTTCCCTAGGT